TTTGACAATGGTTTTGTTCCTTTGGACTTTGAACATCTCATGGCCCTTACTAGAGGATGAGGGCACTCAGTTAAAATATCATCATTTATCTTCTGAAGATCAACGAAGATCTCAGTGAATTGAAACAACAAGAGAGAGAGTAAATCATCAGAATTTAAAATATTTTGGATAAACAAGTTTTTTAAAATTACATGTTAGTAGTAAAAACTTACACATTTTTGCAGATTTGTTAGCTAGAGTAAGGCCATTGAAGTAACGTGTCTTTCCCCTTGGAAATAACGTTAGCCTAAACTGCTTAGCTGACTGGCCATTAGATAAAATGTCCTACATTAGCTTAAGTTACATTTGAAATTATGGTTGAAATTGTGATGAGATCAGGTGTATGACTTTTTTTAATTAATTATATAATGTTGGGGAGTTTTAAAAATCTTCAGGGTTTTTTTCAAAGGGAAAACACTTAAAAAACACTTACCATCTACAAGTAGTCCTTTCCCCCAACCAAAATTAACAATATCATGTATATTATATTTTAAAGTCTGCTGATGCCCTTGATATGCAAATGGAAGAGCCACTGAACTATATTTATTCCCACTAAAGTACAACTCAACGATTCGCTAAAACTCTGAGGATTTAAAAAAGGGACAATCCAAAAGCAATGATCACACTTCATTATAAAGCACCTTGATTTCCTTTTGTTCTAAAGTAAAATGACTGTTTCCACCACATGGGAGATTTGATAAATTGTGTGCCAGTGCAAATTTACAATATAGCCTTTTGTCTTGTGAAGTAGCGAGCCACAGGGTTTGCTTTTGAAGCTTCCTCTGTGTGCAGTGCAAGAGAGAGATCTAATTCTCTACTATTGCTCCTCTGTGTTTCCTGCTCAAACGCTTATTAAAAAAATGATCATAAACATGATGGAAATTATCACCAGTGTGTGTGTGTGTGTGTGTGTGTGTGTGTGTGTGTGTGTGTGTGTGTGCCCTAGATAAAGTTACTATCACCTCTGAATTATTCACATCTCCATCTGCATTCAAGATGAACAAACCATTTGCAGTCACAAGTTGGTCTAAATTCCATTTGAACTCATTTGAAACAATTAGAATTTTTTCATTAGACATTGTGTTAATCTATAACATTTTTATTTTATTTTATATTGTATAGCTAGTTTTTTTTCTTATATTTGTTTTAATTTTCTAAATATACAGTTGAAGTCAGAATTATTTGCCTCTCTAAATTATTAACCTCCCTGTTTATTTTTTCCCCAGTTTCTGTTTAATGGAGAGATTTTTTTAACACATTTCTAAACATAATAGTTTTAATAACTCATTTCTAATAACTGATTTCTTTTATCTTTGTCATAATGTCAGTAAAAAATATTTGATTAGATATTTTCCAAAACACTTCTATGCAGATTAAAGTGAAATGTCAGGACTTAGCTACAGTAAGTTAATTAGGTTAACTAGGCAGGTTTGTTGGCAGGTTGTATAATGATGGTTTGTTCTGTAGACTGTCGAAAAAAAAATATAGCTTAAAGGGGTTAATAATATTGACCTTAAATTGTTTTTTTTAATTATTATTATTGATAACTGCTTTTATTCTAGCAAAATAAAAAAAATTAGACTTTCTCCAGAAGTAAAAAATGTTGTCAGACATACTGTGAAAATTTCCTTGCTCTGTTAAACATAATTTGGGAAAAAAATTTAAAAAAGTTAAACAAATCCAAAGGGGGGCTAATAATTCTGACTTCAACTGTATCTGAGATTTTGATGTTTTAATTAAATTTTATCTCTCATAAATTTTATTTTATTGCAGAATGCATAACCTATTTATGTTTTTTTATTTTTTTTTATTTCACGAGTGGTTGTATAAACATTTCACAGCATATTGTACCGTATATGTGACTAATAAAATTTTAATTTGTCTACATGAGTGGATGAGATCAAACAACAACTGGGGAAAAGGCTATGCAGAGCAAATTAATAATATAATGCACCATCTTGTCTGTTCTAAACTGTTCCCCAGTGCATTAAATTGGCTTTGTTACAATGGATAAATACCCTGACGCTTCCCTTCTGCTCTGATGGCTGAGTAGTGTTTATGCAAAACCATTTTCAGGTCACACAGGCTAAAAGTGATACAGACTAATAGTGACATTTATAAATGGTAAAAAAAAGTGTTATTACAGTGCATATTGTCTCAAAGTAGATCTTGCTTTTAGCATTGATAGGTCTATCAGAACTTTACATTGAACTACATGTTCTCAAGATACTTATATTAAGAAACATTATATATTTTTTACACTCTCTCTTAAAAATGAAAGTCCTTGGTTTTTTAAATGTTATTTAACGTCCATCAATGCTCTCCATTATACAAAAGATTTTTAGATTAGATCAATCAAAAAATAATCAATTTCAATGAACAGTTCCAAAAAGAACCATTTATTTCTTGGTGAGAAAAACATTTTAGCAATAAAAAGATCGTTCTTTTTTTATTGTAAATAACATTTTGTAGGATGCAAAGTTTCTCTTTTCATATTCTTCATGGACATTGATGGCAAACATTTGTAATTTTTTAAAAATTGTTCTTCTGACCAGAAACAAGGGTTTTACAATACTTTTAAAAGTAAAGGAATGAAGAAACAAGAGAGTTTTGTATATATTACCATACTCTGTACAAAATGCTGCATGTGCTCCACTTTCTTCATGTTGTCCCAACAAAGTTTGTTTCAATGTTTCAATTGATTTTAAATAAGAAGTATGAACAGCTTCCCAGTGCTGGGTTGCAGCTTAAGGGGGAATTCACTGCGTAAAACATATGCTGGATAAGTTGCTGGTTCATCATGCTGAGGGGACCCCTGATTAATAAAGGGAATAAACCAAAGAAAAATAAATGACTGAATAAGTATGAACAGCAGTATGAACAATCAGCAATTATTTATAAGAACCATTGAGAGCTGCCCAAGGAACCTTAAAATAATTATTCAAACATTAATTTTCTTTTCAGTTTAGTCCCTTTATTAATCTGGGGTCACCACAGCGAAATGAACCGCCAACTTATCCAGCATATTTTTTGAGAGGGGTCTGGATGCAGACCTGGTGCAGTGCAATCTGAGCTAAAATAATGTAAATAGTTTTTTCCACTGTCCAAAAAAAAAAAAAAAAAAAAAAAAGAAGCTGCCATTATGGAACTATCAGTGCTAGTATAGACTGTAAAATGCAGGGTTTTGCACTTTTCATTCATGTTGTCACAACACAAATCGATTCAGTTGTTTTAACATATTTAAGTGGATTGAACATAAAACAATTAAGTTGCCCCCAAAAGATCTTAAGATTTGTGTTTAGCTCATTTTAAGTAAGTATAAACAAGGCAGCAATCTTTTTTTATGTGTCAAACCTTTTTTTTATTGTAATTACAAAAATATTTTAGACTATTTTCTACTTTTTTTGAGAAACTGAAAAAGTATTAGGAATAAGACTCTTTCTTTGTTATGACCAGTTCCATGTTGTTGTTGTTTTCAATATTTCGTTACTCTCAGAAGTAAAGGTACGCGAGCGGTCTCTGGGGTGGAATCCAAATGTACAAATTTGTACCTTAAAGGTCCATATTAAATACAACAAGTGTAAATATTAATATCTAAAAAGTACAAAAGTGTTTCTCTTAATTTTTAGGTACTAATGTATACTTTTAAGATACCAATATGGATCATTTAAGTACAAATGTGCACCTTATAAAAAGATACAACCCCAGTGACAGCTCACGTACCTGTATTTTGAGAATAAAGCTTTTTTTTTTTTTTTTTTTTTTACAGCTTCTTCTTTAACTCTTTTAAAAAAGACTTAAGCTTAAGACACAATTTTATTCAAAATATGCAGAAATAACAAAATTATCCATTCAGAATGTAATTGTCTTTTGTATTACTTCATTGATTACTATATTTAAATATAATAGTAGTATATAGTTACCACGACTTACTGTAAATAATGTATATATTTCTTTATAGATTACAATAAAATTAGTAAATTAACAATAAAATGGTCAACCTGTTACTTTTTTAGGTGTGGCTAGCGGATATCATAGTTTCATTTTATAATAGTTTATTAATGTAGTAGAGTAATTTATAAAATAATATTAATATTATTTGCTTCAGATATTACAAACACCCCTTTTGAAGTTAAAACGTATGTTCCTTATCCTGGTAGAAATGTGTGTAATGTCTAATGTAAAAGTCAGAATCATCTTTGACCACAAGAGCACCATCAGGCAGTGGATTCTGGTTTTGGCCTACAGCAGGTGGCAGCACATGCCTAATGCAAAACTAAAACCTATTAATTATGAGGACAGGACTTAAAAACAAATACGTGATAACATATATAAAATTATTCATTTTGTAAATTATTACATACTGTAGAGTGCAGCAGTCACCATTCACAGCTATTAAAGGCTACAACACAGAAATATAGCTAAAGAAAAACTTTAACAGGCTAATGCAATTTAAAGGGGCAGTTCATCCAAAAACCCAACTATCATCATCATTTACTCATCATTACTCAACATTTACTCACAACTAAGAGGTTCCAGACCATTATGAACACAAAAGAAGTATTTTAAAGAATGTTGGAATTGAAATTGCTTTGTGTGCAGCAGATGGAGATGAAAGAAGAGGAAAGAAGAAAGAAGCGAGTAGCCAAAATTATGTGATCATTTTCTTTCTTTTTTCCATTTTTTTGATGTTGTTTATTGAACTGTTATTTAAGTATGCAAACGCAACCATAATGTTCCTGGCATCCTCAACTAACTGTCAAAATCTTAGTTCTGAGCTCATCATTAATCTATTTGTGTACATCTTTTATTAGTCTATTATTGGTAGAGTACTAGTTCATGAATATGTGTTTCAACTAATTCAGCAGATCCCCGATTCCACCAATCAGATAGCAGCGCTCCAAACTTTCCCCCAATCAGCGAAACTCCTGTAACTTTCGCTCGCACTCCGCGCCCGTGGCTCTGTTTTGATGCGCTGCCTGTCTGTAGGTGGTGAAGCCTCGTTTGGTGACACTTTTGTTTTTATGTTAATATTTTCTTTTACAAACCGCGGCGCTTTTGTCTACGCGCAGGTTTATATAGCCAGGGGAAGGAATGATGACGGCGTTTATCAGCGGTTGAGGAAGCTGTATCTGAAGAGCCACTTGAGATCGCCTATAAGCCTCTGCCATGAGTTGTTTGGATGTTATGTATCATCATCAGAGTTATGGAGCTCATCACTATCTGCCCTCGACATCAGCGGCGGCGGCGGCGTACAAAGCGGCGTATTTACACCATCACCACCAGCAGCAGCAGCAGCAGGTAGGGGAGTAAAGTTGGTTTTATATTGGACTTCCTCCTTAATGATATAATTTCAGTAAATAGTGAAATTTTAATCACTATTTAAAGTAGCCTACAACCTTTTTCGCAGTAAATAAAATAATGCTATGTTGTTTTAAAGTCATTTACATGTCGAAATATTCAGAGTAGCGTTTTTAAAAAGTAATATTTGTTTTTTCCAGTTCTTTTTGGTAATAACTATTAATACAAATAACTATAAGTTAGCTAAAATGATTTAATTTCGTCAATAGATGTATTTTTTGTTTGTTTGTTTAATGTTTTAACTTCAGAAAAGGTCAAAAGTGAATATTTGGCTGAATAACCTTGTTTTTCAAGCGGTCTCTTAAAGCGATGGTTCACCCAAAATGAATATTCTGTCATTATTTACTGTTTTTATCCAAATCAGTTTAAGTTTTCTTTCATCACTGAACACATAAGAAGATTTAAAGAAAGCATTTACATTCATTGTACGAAAAACAAATACTGTGGAAGTCAATGGTTACCGGTTTTCTGCTTTCTTAAAAATGTCTTCTTTTTGTTCATTAAATAAAGGAAACTCATAAAGTTTTGTAACAAGTGATGACTTTTTTGTGAACTACCTCTTTAACTTTTTTCCAAAGTGAAATATATAAAATAGTTTTGTGCATAATATATATATATATATATATATATATATATATATATATATATATATATATATATATATATATATATATATATATATATATATATATATACATATTTAATGTATATTTAGAATAGTTTTTAATGTATACATAAATGTAAATACATCATTTTACATTATTTTTAGATCTACATGTTGCAAACTAATTTTAATAACAGCATGATAATAGTTTTACTCTTTTATTATGGACAGCAGCAGTCAAACAGCTCTTTTTAAAACATTTTAAAGCAATTTTACTGATTTTTACTTACTTTCAGTGTTATTATGGTTATAAAAAACCTGGAAAAGTCATGGAATTTTGACATGGCATTTTCCTGGCCTGAAAACATTTTGGAAAAACAAAAAAAAACCAAAATCTGTGTACTTGAGTATAGGTTGGTTGTCTTGACTTCTATTTTGTCCTTGGTCAATCTCTGAAAATATTAGTGCGGTGTCAGTATTATCTAAATAAATTGTACATAAATATAAATATAAATTGAAACTAAAGAGATTGCTACGTGATTTTTATATGCTGTGATATGCTGTGATAAATTTGAACATGCATTGTTTTTGTTTTTTTACCAGCATATGTAGACATTGCATGAAACATTAGGTCATGAAAACTTTCTTGAAAGTTTTGGAAATGTCATGGAATTTTAGTTGTAAAAATGTGCATGAACCCTGTACTATGCAATCTTCACACACTTACTTTAGTAAATTTGATGACTTTGTTACTTTAAAATGTGTAAAACAATTACAATGCTCTGACGAGTAGACTGCTTTATTCTCTTAAAGCTATTATGTTATCAAACTCTGCTTGCTGATATTCGATACAGAATTCTTCAGATTCCTAGCTGTGAATTACAACTGGCTGTGTTTATACAGTCTCATACAGAAATCTTCATGGGCGTAAATCCACGTAAATACCGCTGACTTGCCAAGTGTGGGCATTGGGCCATCAGTTCAGAGACAATCCTCAACAGTCTATTTTGGTCCGGCACCAGGTGGTTAATGTGTGCGTAGCAGCCTTTAACCCCTGACCTTCACAATTAAGGTTCTCTGTGTCTTTCAGCAGAAGAAGTTCAGCGTCTTCAGCAGGATGCAGGATTCAGAGGAGTTTCCCTCGCACTGCGGCCAGAATAAGCAGCCCGGAGCTCTGAAGTCCCGCTCTGAGCCTGAGCTTCTGCCAGAGGAGGAGCAGAGCAGTGGGGAAGAGGATCGCTGTAAGGATACACTACAGCCCGCCGACGCCGAGTACTTGAGTGCCAGGTGTGTGGTCTTCACCTATTTTCGTGGAGACATCGGGGATGTGGTGGACGAGCATTTCTCACGCGCTTTGAGCCAGAACAGTGCCTTTAGCAATGACACCAAGGCCAGCAGACTTAACCCTGGAGGACCATGGAAAGGTAGGAGACAACATTTATAACACAAATTGTAATTATAGTGATAATAAATAGATTTGGTTAGCTTAAAAAGTTATTTTGAGAGCTATTTTGTTTATTGTTGACATTATTTATGTCAAAAATCATGTTTATTGGGGTGTGGGTCAAATTTTCTTGCTTGGGTTCAGTTTATTTCAACCAAAATCACAATATTAAGTGGGGGGCTGAACCTACACACCTACATTATCATGCCATCGATTCAGTTCAATTCGATATCTCGGTGCATTGACGATGCTTTCCATCCACAATTTGATATTTTACTTAGCTACACAATAACTATTGTGTTAAACTGCATAACTTAAAAAATATAATTATATTTATATATTATTTGTAACACAATTTTGCCCTTTAATACAATCAGTCAGGCATATGTACTGTACTTTTAATTTTACCCTGCTCAAAAAAAACTTTCTATTTGAATGTATCAAACAAAACTAAAATACATGCACAGAACAACATGATCATTTATAGTAGGTAAGCAAATGTAAATATTATCTCAATTGTCTTTTAACCATTGTTAAGCGAGTTCTTAAGTGCCTATGATTGGCCACATGCTCAACAGAAAAGGCTGTGATTGGCTCTTTTCCTAGCTGGGTTCTGATGCACTTCCCTGGCAGTGAAAGACTGTCCAGCACACTCTCAAGTAGTGAATTGTGCACAGTTATCTGCTTTTTAAGAAGCTGGAGTGTTTTAATTTAACGGTCTCCTCCCTCACCATAGTAAGCTACCGCCATATAACTTATGTGATAAATGACATCAGTACATAATAGCCGGTTATGATTATTACTGAACCAATGCTGAATTGAAACAATTCATTTTGTCACCCCTACTATTATCACTCGGGTTGCAGCTGGAAGGGCATCTGCTGCATAAAAAAGTATGCTGGATTAGTTGGTGGTTCATTCATGCTGTGGCAACCACTGATTATTAAAGCAAATAACCTGAAAAAAAATTGAATGAATGCATATATTAACACTTTATTAACAGTTCACTAAATTTTTATCAGCTTTTAAAGTTTTAAAGCTGTATTTTGCTATTTTAACTACAACAACTTCAATGTATGTTAATGTAGTTTGGAAACTAACAAAATGGCATTTTTTAAATTAAAATAATTGTGATTTTGGATTTTGTGACATACAATAAATAAAGTTGAATTTTTGCCCCAAGTTCTGTTTAACAGAGAGATTTTTTAGAACACATTTCTAAACATAATACACAAATTTCTAATAACTGATTTATTTTATCTTTGCCATGATGACAGTAAATAATATTTGACTAGATATTTTTCAAGACACTTCTATACAGCTTAAAGTGACATTTAAAGGCTTAACTAGGTTAATTTGGTTAACTGGGCAGGTTAGGGTAATTAGGCAAGTTATTGTAGAACGATAGTTTTTTCTGTAGACTATTAAAAAAATATATAGCTTAAAGAGGCTAATAATTTTGAGCTTAAAATGGGTTTTAAAAAATTTAAAACTGCTTTTATTCTAGCCGAAACAAAACAAATAAGTATTTCTTCAGAAGAAAAATATATTATCAGAAATACTGTGAAAATTGCCTTGCTCTGTTAAACATAATTTGGGAAATACTTAAAAAAGAAAAAAAAAAAGAAAATCCAAGGGGGCTAATGATTATGATATCAACCGGTATATAAGTAAGTTTAATGACATTTTAAAATGTACAAAAAAAGTATAATAAATTAGTACATTAAATTTTGATAAATCAACCAAATCAAATGTAAGGCCATTAAATGGTATTAAAAAGTTCTGAATTTAATCTGTGAATATTTAATCTGTGAATATTGGAATGCTGTTTAATTTATGAAATCGATAAAATCCTGTGAGATTTGACATCACCTTTCTTTGTTTACTGCAGTAACCAAGGCACAACCTTTATTCTGCTGTTGTCTGTGGTACCTGCTGGATTACCATTTTTAGATTGTTTTAGTTTAGGATTGGTTTCAATCAGTATTTAGTAAATATAGCCTACTGTAAGTTAAAATGTTGCCAATGTTACCGATTGAAACCTAAAGTTCCGATTAGTTTTTAAAATGTATGGAAAGAGTCTATAAAAAGGTGTTATAAGTAGGCCCACCCGGAATCTGCGTGTGCAGAATTCTGCAGATTTTCCGCTGATTTCTGCAGATTTTTAGCCCATCATTAATTCTGTTTATTAACTTGAGTAAATGTGTGTAAATCTATATTTATTCAGATTTTTAAATTAATTTCAGTGATATGATTGACTAATGTGAAAATGTTCATCTGATTTATGTACAATGCAATGTGTACAGTATCATTTTCTGTCTTTTACTAGATATAATATATGACAAACTTGCTTTATTTACCAAATAAAGTGAATCTAATTGGATTTGCATTTTAAACCTTAAATAAAAGTTTTAAAGATTTTATTTTTTATTTTATACATTAAGATTTTAATTATGATACTCCCAAAATAGAAATCCACAGATTTTTACTAAAATTCTCCGCAGAAATAGTAAAAAACGTGCGCAGATTCCGTCTGGCCCTAGTTATAAGGTATATATCCTGTTATTGTACTGAGCAAGTGTTTGCTTGTGTTTCAGAAGGAAACTCCCACTCGGAGGGTCAGACTAGCTCTTTACCTTCATCTCTATGGGGCAGTGGTTACCCGTCCCAGAGCAGCCCTTGTGTCCCATCGTCTCACCACGACTTCCCCCCCAGCGCCGCTTTTCACCCCGCAGACAATGGCATCTGGAGCAGCCACAGCCTCGCTCCTCCTCCTTCTGCTCTCACAGACTCCTGGCACTACAGCCTAGGACCACAGAGTGGAGCAGGATATCCTCACGTCCATGAGATGTACCCTCACATGCACCCACGGCACCCACATCCACACGCTCATCACGTGCTCCATCATGCCCACAGCCCTGCTTTGGACCCCCGCTTCAACCCGCTTCTGTTACCAGGCGTAAGGGCGTCCTGCAGTCCAACATCCTGCACCGATACAATAAAAACAGAGCTGGAGCCCAGCAGTATCCCGACACCGAGCTGGCCTGCTTCTTTCCATGGGTCAGTGGACATCTACGATACAGGTGAGATAACATAAAAAAAAAAAAAAATTTACTCAACTTGAAATTGTTTGACACATCTTGGTACAGAATGTTGGTGGCTCATTCCACTGTGACGACCCGTAATGAATAAAGGGACTAAGCCAAAGGAAAATCAATGAATGAATGAATGAACTTGCTCCAGAGCTTTTTAAGTTGACTCAACTTAAATCGAGTCAAGTGCACTACTTGGGTTAAACCCCTTAACTGTCGCCCCCACTTTTTAACATGTGGATTGCTGTAGCAAAGTAATGCTTTATGACTACTTTTTGCATGTTAATAAAAAACTGTTGCTCAGTAATATCTATAATTTTTTTAAACAGTCACCAGATATGGAAACCAGATTTTTTTACTTTTAATCTATCCATAGTTTGTTATGATTGCTTTGTTTTAAGTACAATATTATAGTTTAATAAAAATGTTACCATAAATGGTCCCACAGGTTGTCGGGTGGCAGTAAATTTATTACTCATCCTACGTAGCTAAAAACAACAGTAAAATATGTATTCAGAAGACTTAGACCTTTTTCAATGATAGACAATTTGCCGTGAGTAGATTAGGATTTAATTGCAAAAATAAATGAGGTGAACATTCTGGTTTGGGGGTAGGGGTGGTGACAGTTAAAGGGTTTAAAGGTTGAGTCAACTCAAGTCAAGTTTTTTTTTCAGTGACATTATAAATATGTACACTTATGTACAGTAGCATGGGCGTAATTTCATTATGTTGTGATTAGTTTTTAAATAATAAAAGTTCATTTAATAATGTGTATTTTTTGATAATTATTCATTAATACATATATTTATTAAGAAAACTACGCTCCATCTTTATACACTACTAATAAATACTACAAATTTTTTTTTTATTATCCTCAAAGTGTTGTTTGAACCAAAAATACAGTAAAATAATAGTCAATGAAATATATATATATATATATATATATATATATATATATATATATATATATATATATATATATATATATATATATATATATATATTTTTTTTTTTTTTAACATGACAGTTTTATATTATATTTTAAAATGGCATTTAATCTGTGAGGGTCTTAATTAATCACTTTAATATGCAAATTTGCTGCTTAAGAATATTTTGGGATTTTTGGTGGTTCGTGATTTAAAGAAAGTTCAAAATAACACCATTCATTATAAATATTAACCTTTTGTACCGTAAAAACATCTTTACAGTCACTTTTGATCGTTTTAATTCATATATTATTATAAAAGTAAAAGTATAATAACTTATATAATATAAGTTATTATAAGTATAATAACTAGCTCTTCCTTTTCATGGAACATCATATTATTCTTACATTATGTGTTTTTATTTAGATGTGATACTCATACTGTAAAGCATTTATTTATATGAAAAGCCACTTTGTTTAAATTTATAAATATAAATCAGTTATTAAACAATATTTCTAATTATATTTTATATATTAATGCACGTGGGCATCACGGTGGCGCAGTGGGTAGCACGTTCACCTCACAGCTAGAAGGTCGCTGGTTCGAGCTTCAGCTGGGTCAGTTGGCATTTCTGTGTGAAGTTTGCATGTTCTGTGAATCATACTGTAGGTGAATCAAATAAGCCAAATTGTCCGTAGTATATGTGTGTGAATGAGAGTGTATCCCAGAGATGGGTTGCAGCTGGAAGGGCATGCGCTGCGTAAAACATAGGCTGGATAAGTTGCCGGTTCATTCCACTGTGGCGACCCCTGATTAATAAAGGGACTAAGCCGAAAAGAAAATAAATGATTGAATGAATATTAATACACATTTTAATGTAATCTTTAATCCAAATCTGAATACTGGTGCGGTCCTTCTTATGTATCTTTGTGTAATCATAAGAATTTTATGATTATACCAGATTATACTTAGAATTCTGTACATTTTTTTATTTATTTCCCGTATACAATTGTGATGCGTACATTTTTTTTTAAGTTATCGAAAATATAAGAACATAATTAGTACAGAATTACCAGCTTATTGTTGTGGTAAAACTTTTAATACAAATGAATTTGTCCGAATATACCGTGTACATGACATCAATTCGTATCTTTTGTGCAATCATAAGCATTTTATGATTATATTAGAATTCTGCACATTTTTTAAATTAATTTACTCGTACAATTATGATTTTTATGTATTTATCAAAAGTATAAAAACATAATAGCCGCGCGGTGGCTAAGTCATTAGCACTGTCACCTCCCAGCAAGAAGGTCGCTGGTTTAAGTCATAGCTGGGTCAGTTGGCATTTCTGTGTGAAGTTTGCATGTTCTCTCCGTGTTTGCGTGGGTTTCCACCAGGTGGTCCGGTTTCCCCCACAGTCCAAAGACATGCGCTATAGGTGAATTGTGTAAACTAAATTGCCCATAGTGTACGTGTGTTAATGAGAGTGTATGGGTGTTTCCCAGTGATGGGTTGCAGCTAGAAGGGTATCCGCTGCGTAAAACATACCGTATGCTGGAGAAGTTGGCGGTTCAATCCACTGTGACGACAGCTGATGAATAAAGTGACTAAGGAAAATGAATAAATCATAACACAATTACATATTTACCAGCTTATTGTTTAATAACTTCTAATACAAATACATTTGTCCTAATATAGCACATACATGGCATAAATTGCAATCTCTAATATTATGTTGCAGAATAAAACAATAAATGTTTTAAAGAGCCTGATTTTATCGTCCACAGCTTTGGAGCAGGACAAAGCGAAGGCCAGCGTTTGGTTCTGAGATTGACTGGACTTGACGCTTTGAAGTGGACCACTTCTACAGCCCAGGTCCACATACATCACTGCCTGTGGATTCTTTCCTCCAAGGACTTTCTTGGGAACTATTCAGGAGGACATCAGTGTCTATCAGCGAAACCAGCACAAAAACAGCTTCGGGGAAAACGAGTGTTTTCATAAAGCATACCATCCTGTCTGGGTTTGTGCCCTTTAATGTGCACTCGTAGACACAGATCCAATTCAGGACGCTTCTCCTCCTCTCATCTGGGCTTTGAAAAATAAGGTTTAAGAGGCGCATCTTCTTTCTTCACACCCAAAGAGTTTTACTCGACATGGTTGATGCTTTAGTACTGCATTGATGTACTCACCACAGGTTCTGTTGAAAGAACCGAACGTATTAGTACAGTACTGTGTGAAGGTCGGAGAAAATCTTTAATATATTTGTCTAAAATAGTCTTTTGACTTTTCTTGATTGTTGTTTTCTGTGTTAATAGATTATTTGGGAACACTTTACTTGAAGGGGTGTTCATAAGGTGTTTATAATCATGACATGAAGATGAAGGAGATTGTATGCATGCTTATGACAGCTGTCATTGAGTGATTAAATGCACTGATGACATTGTTTGACATGTTTTTGTTACAAAAGTTTGACATAACCAAGCCAGCATAGCTTGTCGGAAATCTGTCATAAACATAATTGAGGCCATTGGGTCATGAATATATAGAGCTGAACATATATGAGTACACCCCTCACAAATCTCTCATTTAGATTCATATTTCCTATAGGAAGCTGTACAATATTACATTTGTGGATCAGTGACGTGTGGTGAGATTTGTGGCCGGTGAGGCATATACTTTTTCAGGGTCAGATTTACAAATATATGCACCCAATATATTTGCCAACAACCGATTGTGTTTGATATAGCATATCAGCATTCTTTTTGTGCACATAGCAGGTACATATTGGGCCGAGAATGAATGTAAAATGTATAGCGATTCAATATGGCTCCCAAAAACACCAAGGTGGAAGCTACAGACAGCCTATAACAAGCGACCAAGCGACACAGCACCACATGGGATGTGTGTGCTAGCTCTTTGTCTCTCAAAACATAAAATAACAAACTCCAATTGAACTTCACTTGATGTAAAAAAAGAGCAACCACTGAACAAGAATAACCATGATCTCACGCGCACCCTCTACAGTGTGGCAAAGCTACTGCCTGTCTCATCTTCTGTCTTTTCCGTGATAGACATACTGCACATTAAATACATTACCTATTATATGGAAAGTGAGGACATGATGTCTACAATGTATAAAAACATTTTAATAAAGCATTACATTGGTAGCATACACTGAGTAAGCAAAAGGCACACACTCAAGCCATTGTGCAGGGGTTTGCACAATCTGATGTGAGGCACAGCTCGAGCTGTCTTACCTCGCTTACTATGCTGTAGTTGAGCCGGAAATATGCAAAATACAATATTTTTGTTATAAAAATTATTGAAATCATTTGAATCTAATAGAAATTGCATTCATAGCACTGATCAGTGGACAAATATTTATTTTATGGTTAATATATATCTCATGATGGCAGGTGAAGATGCCTGAGGATGGCAGGTGAGGAGCTTACCTAAGAAAATAACTTACAAATACTGTCCAAAATTAGTACACCCAAATTTATGTTAGGTAAAAATATTTAACAAAAATTAAAATAGCAAAATTCAAGAGAAACAAATATTTTACAAAGTTTGGTTGAAATTTATATGTTCGGTAAATTTTATTTTAATAAATATATCGGTTTAATAAATCTGTTCTGTTCAAATGCACCAAAAATTGTTATCTAAGATATATTTCACTGAGAAATGGATAAAAATATTAATTTTCAAAATGGGGTTTATGTTCATTCATGTTGAGCACTGCATGTCTGACCTCTTTTCAGTGAAACAAAAATAATTTCTAGGTAAAATTTCTCAATACTCTATCAAATATTTTTATAGCAACGTCGACCTGGGCGAAAACGCAAAAAACATTATCACGATATCATGTTTCATATCATTCGATATCGATAATTATTGAATATTTTTTTTAACAATCCATTTAGGAATATTAGGATTTTATTTTATTTAACCACTTTATTTTAATTTACCAACATTACTAAGACCAATAGTTTTAATAGTCAAAAACAAATATTAAAACAAAATATTTGATTTCTTTATAATAAAAAAAAACATGAGTGTTAAAGAGACTCTTAAACTTGATAAATAAAATAGTACAAATTGTGTGCAATGGTAACGCTAAACAATCAAAGCTAAATTTAAGGTGTGAATAATAGTGATCCAGTAAACCTTAAACCCAAAACAAATTATGATAATCAAATCTGAGCTTTCAAGTAAAGGAACCGACCATCATTATTTAAATACATATTGAACATTACAAATTGTGAAGTTGAATGACTACATTTCCCCTTATGCTAAAAATCTTTCTGATAAGGTGCTGTCAGCTGGGATGCACAAGAAAAGAAACCAAAAAGCCACTCTGGCAACATCCTTACTGTTGATCCATTTTTTTTTTTACAATCTCCTTACTGCTGCTTTACGGCACTCATTTTAACATGTGTTGTTATTCTGACTTGAAGTGACAAACAGACAAATTGAAGATGACAAACAGACAAATTGTGCGCGTTACGTGTTATTTTATGTTGTCTTGGTGATGTCAAATTTTCTTAACAAAGACAAATATTTAAGAGAAGTGTTTGGTGCAAATAGAGACAGAAGTGTTTCTACAGGTGGTTTGTCAAGCCCACTCTCCTTTGTGAGGCACACTCAGAAATGTTTTTCTAGAGAAATGTAGTGTTTGTAAGGTGTAGGGCTGCGCAATATTGGTAAAAACTGACATTGCAATATTTTATTTTTGTGCTATACACATTGTGATAATGTGTATAATACAACTTGAATAGAATTATTATGTTGATTTTAGAGTAATTGAGGTCATTTTGTAGAGCATTTGCATAAACTAATAAAGCAAGCACTGATAAAAACAGTAGAGCAAAGATAACAAATAAAATAAAAAGTGCTTTATAGTTTTCTGGGATTCTAGCAGTATTCAGGCACACAGTTAGAAACATTATAATTCTTAATGCTCCAATGCTTGAACTGGCTTAAAATGCCAACATGGGTCTTGAGAAACCATGCAAATGCTACAATTTTTAGTAACATTGTGGAGTCACTGCAAAATGTAACCATAAATACCGTGTGGCTACTGGTCAACTATAACCCTGACTCTACTTTGCAAATCCTACGATGTGACTATTGCGAATGCCCACATTGCGATATCGATGCTGAAATAATATGTGCAGCCCTAATCTGGTGCATATAGAAATGAAAAAGTGTTTTTTCTACAGGTGGTTTGTCAAGCCCACCCCTCTATCCGAGGCACACTTAGAATTACCTAATGTTTTGAGGTATTCCGAATTGTCTTATGAACGCCCCTTCAAGTAAAGCATGACCAATTATTTTTGATGTCAAAACGTCTTGCTTTTGAGGGATACGTCTGCTACACGCAAACTGCTAAGTTTTATTGGCAAACAGTCTGTTTTGTTTGGATGGATTTATTAAATCTTTACAGTGATCATGACTGTCTCTTTATGAGTTGTCAGATTTTATGTCTGTTTACTTTTCTCCATTGAGGTATTCAAAAGGTCAGTGGCAGTGCTCACTTTTGACCAATTTAGGGAAGGAAACGCAGAGCGCAGAGGAGTCCCAGAAGGGATAATGTCATTCCGTTCACATTTAGCTTCATTATATATTGCAAATGTGATTATATGAACGCTCTTAAATGTCAAAAGTTGGAATGTGCTTCCTGTCTGACTAGGAAGTCCGACCCAAGACGACTTGAACGATTGCAAAAACAGACTCCTCTCATCCTAATATGAGCCTGTGAGGAACCAGAAGAATGTGGCGATCGGTTTCTCAATGTAGCTTCGACCCAAATCCACACGAAGAATGCCAAGAGCGCAGAATATGCAGTCTGGTGTGAAATCGAACATCATTTTGAAGAGCTGCAGCTTTAAATATTGTTATACAAGGAAAGCACGTTGCCAGATATTGCATTATATTTGTCATAAAAGACAGCTGCTGGGCTGCTTGTGCTGGGAGTTGGTGTGAATGGAGAGTTGAGAGTGAGATGTCTGACCAGGTGGCAGCAGTGACCCACTCACATTCCTGCTGGACATTAGCAGCTGCTGTACACTCTGGCATGATTACATCTCAAACACACACTAGAAAGACTATTGCATGTGTGTATATAACTTAAAGATCTCCTTCTACTGGAAACAAAATAAGATATTTTGAAGAATGTTGGAAACCATTGACATCCATAGTCTACATTTCAAGAGTTCACACTTAGATATTGCTTGACAGCTGTAAGCAGGTTTGGCATGCTGTCCCGGGAGAGAACCCTGAGCTCGGAGATAGTTGAGCCCAGGGCTCCCGCCAGGTCCATAGAGCATGTGAGGGGAGTACGAGATCAGGTGGTTCTCGAGAGCTCCCCTTTTTGTAAAGGAGAAAAGGAGGAGAAAGGGGTGGATGGGGGGTTTCTTCGGAAAACGAAGATAAGGGAGTAATGTCTAGCTAGGCTACTTATAGTGGGTTAGGATAGATCTGATTGGCTAACTAATGAGTGTAGATAGGTGGCCAGCTGCTGTCAATTATATCACGTGCTCCTCTCGAAATTAGTTTAAAAACTTCACTTCAAGAGTTCACACTTAGATATTGCTTGACAGCTGTAAGCAGGTTTGGCATGCTGTCCCGGGAGAGAACCCTGAGCTCGGAGATAGTTGAGCCCAGGGCTCCCGCCAGGTCCATAGAGCATGTGAGGGGAGTACGAGATCAGGTGGTTCTCGAGAGCTCCCCAAATGCATGAAGCTCGGGACAGCAGCCGTGTATTCGAAGAAACTCCCCAAAAGGCTTGAAATGCTATATCCGGCTGCTGGATATAGTTATTTGAAAAAGAAAAGGTAAAGAGGGCTCCTTTGGAGCAAAGGGTGAAACAGGTTCCTGCGGGAACCCGAGCAGAGTTGGCTTGGGCTGTGAATACTCCTGCTGGAGTAGAGACTCGGGGAGACCCCTGCGGGGGTCAGAGCCATGGGGTGGGCGGGAATCCTGCTGGAGTCATTACAAGGGAAGGGGAGTGAAGGACTCCGGCTGGAGAGGGGGGTGAAGGGGGGCAGGGGGGGCGGGGACTCCAAAGGAGTAATTTGCTCGAGGAACACTCCTTGCGGAGATTGAGCTGGGAGGTGGCAGCACTATATATAATTATATATTTATATGAAACATATAGATATATAAATATATAATGGGGTAATCTAGGGCCTTGGGGGGGCGTTTTTACTGACTCTTGCGAGAGTCGAAGCTCTTGGCTCTCCTGCGGGAGAGAGAGCTGTATGTGCCATCTCCAGCTGGAGTCGGGAAAAGGAATGGTCGGTGAAGCCCCAGCTGAAGGGGGAAATGGCAGTTGGGCGATGACCCCTGCGGGGGTCCGGTGCTCGGGATTAACTCCGCGGGAGTTAGAGCTTGAGGGTGACAGCACTATATATAAATATATATTTATATGCGTGGGTGCATATATATATACATATATATAAATAAATTTAAAAAATAAAAGATAAGTGTGAGAAATAAACAAAAATAAACATAAATAAAAGCTAGGGCCGGGGAGGGTCGGTGACATGACTCGTGTCACAGCTCGGGGTTGGGTGAGCTATTTAGCTGCTCCAGTAGGAGTCGGGAAAGATGAGGGGGAGGTGAAGACTTCTTACTGGAGGGTGACGGGCGGTATAGGTGCTCTGGGGGTGTTCCTGCGGGAACAGAGCGTGAGGGTGACAGCACTATATATAAATTCATATTTATATGCGTGGGTGCATATAGATATAAATTTATATAAATAAAATCAAACAGAGAGAAAAATAAATAGTGCTATACTATATGTCATTATGGAATGACATAATATAAAAAGCTAAGGCCAGGGCAGTGAGATGATTCCTGCGAGAATCGAAGCTCGGGGTAACGCCCCTGCGGGGGCCAGAGCCATGGGGGGGGCGGGGTCCTACAGAAGTTAGAAAAGTTGGGGGGCAGTGAAAACTTCTGTGGCAGCGGCCGGGGGGGGCGGGGGTGACAAGGGGGCCTGGGCAGGGAGAGAACTCCTACTGGAGTTAGGTGAGTGAAAAGGGGGAGAAGGCTGAGTGCAAATCAGCTGGAAGGAAGAAAGGAAGCTAGATGGCTGGGTCATGCCCGCGCCCTTGGGAGACTGGGTAGTTCCTCTGCCCTCGGGAAGCTGGTATGGTTGGGTCGTATTCTCTCCCTGGACTAGGCCCATGCCCTTGGCCGCTGGGATTACTGCGTCTGCTGGTGAGGGTCCTCTGAGCTTCCCTGAGATGGCCGTGGCTGAGTCAGATATAAGATTTGAAGGCGTCGGGAGACTACTTTCCTAGTGTTTGTATGTGTTGTTACGATAGCCCTTGTGTGCTGCTGTGGTGGTGGCTCCAATTCTGAATGAGTGACTGGATTATGAATCTGGTGGGAAGCCTGAATGGTCCTATGACTTTAAGGTGTTATGAAACCAAAAATGTTATTGAACGGAATGTGTGGATGTGTTGAGCAGTGAGAAACTGATGAGGTGTTCTGGGGTAACTTAAAATGTATAAATGAATGCAGACGCAAATTGTGTATGCTGTGGTTATGGGATTATCATCTTAAAAGGAGAGATGGAGTCAGCTGCGGCTCTGCTTCTGATACCAGTTTCTGAAAATAAAGCAAAAGAGAGTCAGCGATTTCCTATGCAACTAGGAACATGTACAGCAGTATTTATTTATTTATTTATTTTTATTTTTTATTTATTTATTTATTTATTTTTTTTTTTTATTTTTTTTTTTTCAGAATGTATTGACTGTATTGCCCGTTAGAAGCGCATTGGCGGCCCCGATAATATACCCCACGAAGGGGGCAGCATCTGTGTAAAAAGGATATACTGAGGATGAAATTGGATAGCTAATAAATGAATGGCTTCTATTCCAGCGCTTAAGGA